ACCCTTCACATGGTCCCACTTAGATGCAAGAGATGCTGGGAAGTGTAGTCCCTGGCTGGTTTGCTTCTTACCAGAGATATTGCTGTACTATGCAAAGAAGAGCACAAGTAATTTGGTGGATAGTTAGTTGTGTCTGCCATGCCATGAGTGACGTAGACCAGAGCTGTCCAATGGGAATAGAATGTGAGCCACATATGTCATTTTCACTTTTCAAGTAGGGGGCCTGGGAAAAGAGGGGCAGTAAATATTCTGATTGTATTATTATGAAGTCTACCACAGGGTCCAGTATGTTCTCTTTCCCTACCAGTCTAAGGTAGAGTGAGAATTGGTGTAAAAAATTAAGAAAAAACTGTGGCATACTTAATAAATATGGAGCTAAACAAAGAAAATTTATCAGGCAAATGAAATTTTTGAGAGCTTAATGAATTTTGAATTGGTGCCTGGGTTGTGCCAGGACACACAACCAGACTGCCAGTGGTCGGAAGAGATACAAGAACTGAATCTATCAAGGATTTGGGGGAAGAGCTTTGGATTTAAATAAGGGGAGTAATGAACTTTGAAAAAATTATTTTGCAGCAAAATTAAGTTTTAAACCTAACCTCATCGTTCTTTTTTGCCTTGCATCCATGCAGGTAGTGCACGTCAATCCAGTTGTTCTCAAAATAATGGCTGAGTTGTGACACATTGTTTTAAAACCACAAATATGATGTGACTTTCAGAACCAGGGCCAAGCTGCTTCACATCTTACATCCCAGAAGAGTTCCTGAGAAATAATTTATGGGACCAGTGGGCTGGTAGCAGCTACCCAATCTTGGTTAGGAATTTGTCCTCCACGTCAGTAGGAAAACAGACATAAAGGCAGTGACTAGAATGAGCAAAAGGAATCTGCAGCATAAGCCTGTCTAAAACCATTTTCTTCCAAACAGCATAAATCATTTCTGTCTGAACTCCACTGTTGACAAATCCCTGAAAAAGTAAAGGTAAAGAAAGAACAGCATCCATCAAAAAAACCTGCCTATCTCATGGGACAGAAGACAGGGAGCGGGAAACGGGGCCAGCTCAGCCCTGTACACCAATGTTCATTGACAGTACCAAGGAGCTCAGCCAAAGGCAGCTAGTTAAGGAAAGAGAAAACTCACCTGGTTCTGGCAGTCCTGGGTTATAGGACTAATGGAGATGCTGAAGGCATGACCAACGCAATACAAACCATCTATACCAACGCTATGAGAAAAATCTGGGCCAACAGCATTGTCAAGGGATGAGAAACTATTCGTCCTACTTCTTCCTAATTATCTTACTCTCACATCAGCATTTTAAAAAGAAAGCTATCCAGAGCTGGCCCCGTGGCCTAGCGGTTAAGTGTATGCGCTCCGATGCTGGCAGCCCGGGTTCGGATCCTGGGCGTGCATCCATGGGCCACTTCTCTAGCCATGCTGAGGCCGCATCCCACATACAGCAACTAGAAGGACGTGCAGCTATGACATACAACTATCTACTGGGGCTTTGGGGGGAAAATAAATAAATAAATAAAATTAAAGATGAAAAG